CAGGAGGAGGAGAGGAAGCAGCAGCAGCAGCAGCAGCAGCAACAGCAGCAGCAGCAGCGACCATTTGCTCGTGGATGTAGGCCTCCTCTCCCTACCCCTAAACCCTCAGATATAAAACGTACAAGAGATGCAGAAAAAATAAATGCAGCAGCAGCAGCAGCAGCAAGAATAGCAGCACAGCAGCACTTGCCTCCTCCTCCTCCCCCGCTGCAGCAGCAAGGAGACACGGAGACACTTGTATGGGACTTTAGGGTCAGGAAACAATGGAGGGAGGCACTGTACACCACTAACAGCAGCAGCAGCAGCAGCAGCAGCAGCAGCAGCACTAGCAGTAGCAGTAGTACTACTACTAGCAGTACAGACTGCCAGGACCAAGAGCAGCAGCAGCAGCAAGACCAGCAGCAGCAAGAGCAGCAGCAGCAGCAGCAGCAGCAGCAGGCAGCTGAGGACGAGCGCATGCAAATAATATACGGAAGGAAAATGGCGAAGAGAATTAAATCACCAGAGACAGGCAATATACATGAATGGAGAGTAGGTCTCGACGACGAGCTGCTGCTGCTGCTGTTGCTGTTGCTGCAGCTGCTGTTGCTGCTGCAGGATTTGAAGGTGGACAGATGCCCCTATACCGCCGTTTACCTAAATTTGTTGGTCGTCAATTAGGTACAGGGTTTAGGAAAAAGTACCGCATGCAGCAGCAGCAGCTGCTGCCTATAAATAAATTAAATGCATGCATGCAAGGAGAGACAATTGATTGGTGTCTCCTTCTTAATAAAGGTGTATTCTTAGGTAAATATAAAAGAGACGCACCTATCAAGGTAATTTACCTCCTCCCCCTGTTCCTGCTGCTGCTGCTGCTGTTGCTGCTGTTGCTGTTGCTGCTGTTGCTGCTGTTGCTGTTGCTGCTGTTGGTGGTGTTGTTGCTGAGGGTACTGTAGCTGGTGGCCACAATGCTGCTGCTGTTGCTGCTGCTGCAGCTGCAGCAGCAAGTGTCTGCAGCACATTCATCTCCATTTATCTCCTTTTGCTGCTGCTGCTGCTGCTGCTGCTGCTGCTGCTGCTGCTGCTGCTGCTGCTGCTGCTGCTGCTGCTGCTGCTTAGGTAGTAGGTCCACCTCTAAGCCGTAAGAGATGCAACGGCAGAAGAGAATTAACTGTTAAAGGATTACAAGTCAAGGTAAATAATACATACGTGCTGCTGCTGCTGCTGCTGTTGCTGCTGCTGCTGCTGTTAGTTCTTTTGTTGTTGCTGCTGTTGCTGTTTTGTGCTGCTGTAGCTGCTGCTGCTTATGGTATTCGTGCTGCTGTTTTTCTCTTGTTTTGTACTTTTTTCTGCTGCTCCTTTTGCTGCTGCTGCTACTTCTATACCTGCTTTTCCTGTTGCTGCTGCTGCTGTTGCTGCTGCTGCTGCTGCTGCTGCTCAGGCGCATGCATTTACTCGTGCAGCAGCAAGAGCAATAATAAGATTAGGGGGTCGATGTCTTCTTCTACAACCAAGGACACATGATAGAATTGTTGCTGAATATAATCCTGATTACTCATTCCCTGCTGCTGCTCCTGCTGCTGCTGCTGCTGCTGCTGCTGCTGCTGCTGATCCAACAGAAGCAGCAGAAGCAGCAGGAGCAGCAGAAGAAGACGAAGGGACTTCAGCTATATCTGAGTCTCCGTCAGAACCCGGTGCTGCTGCAGCAACAGCAGCAGCAAAAGAAGGAGCAACAGGAGCAGGAACAGGAGCAGCAACAGCAGCAAGAGGAGGAGAGGAGAAAAAGGAGACAGAAGCGCATGCATATAAACTGCAGCAAGCAGCAGGTTTATCATTAGGACAGATCCTTTGGCTGCAGCGACGTGTGGTGTATCTGCAGCTGCAGCGCATGCAGCAACGAGTAGAGGAGTGCAGCAGGAAATTGCTGCTGAGTCCCTATAAGGGTAAATATAAGAGGAGACAGGAGACACTAGCAGCAAGAAAGGAGACACTGCAGCAAACCCTTCATGGTATACAACAAGATATAATAAGAGCAACAGCAGCTAATCTTATACCTAAGGAGGAATTGCTGCTGCAGCAACTGCAGCAACGGGAGCAGCAGAGGCAGCAAATGCTGCACCAAGATCAGCAGGAGCAAGAACAGCAAGTGCAGCAGCAACAGCAACAGCAGCAGCAGCAGCAGCAGCAGGAGTTCGATCCTCCTCTACCTATAGTGAATAAGATACCAAGACGTTATGTGCATGCAGGAAGATTACCTAAGCAACAAAGAGACTTCTTAAGGTATAAACATAGGGGCAATTTATTCGGGTGTATAGGCAGCTCGTAGGGTGTATAGGCAGCTCGTAGGGTGTATAGGCAGCTCGTAGGGTGTATAGGCCGCTGGTGGAGTGTATAGGGAGGGAGCTAAGGAGAGGGGAAAGGGGCAGAAGAATAGGGGAGGAGGAAGGAAGGAGACTCTAACCAATTACTATTGCTGCTGCTACTGCTGCTGCTGCTGTTGCTGCTGCTGCTGTCTCCTTGT